CTCGTCACGACACGTCACGGTTTGATTATACTTCACCACGGTGGTGATCAGCGGTCGTGGCGATACCCAGGACCGGTTCAGATGCTCGTCAGCAATGTTGATCACGGACGGGAATCGAACTCGGTTCGTCGGTTTTGACAACCACTGCGCCACCTCTCCCAACATTACACAATCCCCACATGAACACTCACAAAGACAAAGATCTCTCGTATAGCCTAAACAGGCTGTTTGGGCAAGTGCTGTTAGCGAGCACCTATGAAGGCCGACACACGAGGGGGTGGGTGGCCAGCACCACGCCCTTCCGCCTTTGTCTCCCTAGTGGCGATGTTTACACACCGCATTAGGTACTCATTTGAGGCTCAGTCCACCTAGGAGAGGCCCAGGACAGGTTAAAATATTTGTCACCGGTGTTGGCCGTGAGCGGGAATCGAACTCGGCCGCTGGTTTCGTAGCGGAGCGCGCTAACCACTACACTACCGATCCCCTCTTTGTCTTTGAACACTTACGCGCACACATGCACACACAGTTCATTCAGCTGAGATATCCGCGTGTTGCAGAGTTTCGCGGTTGGAATTTGACAGGCCGCCCTGGTTAAAACAGGTGAAACAACTACGCGCCGTGTGATTCACAGTTGACGCTAAAAATGCCGTGGCGTCGTTGTGTGCCGGCGTCAATGTCCAAATCTACCAGAATTGAAAATGGCCCGCAAATTACTCAATTAGGATTACACAGCAGCGGTAGTGGCAATCATCTGTGAAACGCAGCAGCGCCTGCCTGATGATCGCCCCGCGCTCTGAGAATAATCTTCTCAATTATCCACAATAATGCCGACCTCGTCGTGTCTGAGTCATTCAAAACATGGAGCAATCACGCACAGGGCCAGTAACAAACACGGCGAGACGCGCCGCGCCACTCACGCAGACAGCCGCCATCGGCCGCTGCAGTTCGGTGTCTGACACAGACGCCGAATGTGGTGCGTGAGGCGGGGGGCTGGAAGCCAGAGGACCCCGGGGGGGGGGGGGGGGTGACTGTCACTAATCACGCGGCGTGGCGGTTCCCGTCTGGGCACACCCCAGGCGGGAACCTTGACGAGCCCCGGCTGCCTCGGCGCACTGCGCCACCGCTCCGCATGCATTCACTACAGGTACGCCAGCGTAATGGCAAAGACAAAGATCCTCCGTGCAGCCTACACAAGATGTCGTGGCAAGAGCTGTTAGCAAATACGAAGGCTAGCGAGGCGCACGATGGGGTGGTGTGGCATAACACTAAAGACAAAGATCCCCTCGATAGCCTCAACATACTTTTGGGGAAAGTGTTGCTAGCGAGTCGCACCTGAGGGTTGGACGCGGTAGTCGATGGAGTGGGTGGCCAGGGGAGGCCCAGGAGCGGTTCAGATAATTATCATCACTGGTGTTGGTCTGAGCGGGAATCGAACTCGGATGGCAGGGTTCATTGCACTGCGTAGCGCTAACACGCATAGCACAACAACAGCCGACAACGCCACTACGTAACGACGACGTCACCACGGCGCCTGTGACAGGCCAGGTGCACTTTGAGCCCACGTGAAGGGTCGAAGGCTCGCTGATAGGTCACGGGACAGACGCAGGTGCCATGGGTTGACTGACTGAGACGACAAGTAGATGCACCCCTTACTGTGCCAACTTTTTGCATATTAGCGGCCCGGCGCTCTGCTCGTTGTTGTGAGCGTCGCTCCGCTGCCGTCCGCTGTTGTTGGAGGGCGACTGCCTCCAACTGCTCAGTAGCGTTCTTCACGAGCCTCCTCCACAGAGGCCGATCTTGACACCGCTGGTACCGGTCATTGGCCAAACACAAGCTGCTTGGGCATGCGGTGGCTAGGCATGCGGGCGACATGACCCATTTAACCGATGCATAGCACACACACCCACACACATAGCACACACACACCCACACACATAGCACACGCACCCACACACAGCACACGCACCCACACACATACCCACAGCACACACCCACAGCACACACACCCACACACATAGCACACACACACCCACACATAGCACACACACCCACACACATAGCACACACACCCATACACAGCACACGCACCCACACATACCCACAGCACACACCCACACACATAGCACACGCACCCACACGCATAGCACACGCACCCACACACACAGCACACGCACCCACACACATAGCACACGCACCCATACACATAGCACACGCACCCACACACACAGCACACGCACGCCAGCCGCAATTCGTTACTAAGTAACGGTGACGTCACCACGGTACTTGTGCCAGGCTACGTGCACTTTGAGGCTCCCGAGTGAAGTGTCGAAGGCTCCCTGTTGGCAGGAGGCGATAGGGCAGACCCAAACGTCATGGGTTGACTGAGGTGACGAGCGAGGGGAGGGAATGGGGAGCCGGGCGAAGTGGGCTCATGGCGACTGAAGGCGACCGGGAGCGGAGCAATGAGTGCCAACTTGTCAAACTCTTGAGGAATCCCAGAAGTCTCACGACTCCACGACTCGCAAGGTCCGATATGGGCATTGGGGACGGGTCGAACCCGCGGTCAGTGCCGCACTCACCGGACACGTCACACAAAGAGCAATGACGTCGCCACTTTTATTTTTGATGAATTACAGTTAATCAAAAATATCTCTATTTTACTCTGTACAACTTGTTCCGTGTCCATTCCCTACAGAGTCACGACGCGTCAGCTCTCTGCCCTCCACGCTCAGGAATATGTACAGCAATCACCACCATCACCACCATCATCATCACCACCATCATCATTACAAGACAGAGCGAGCGGCGGCGAGGAGGGGTCGTGGGGGTGGGGGACACAACCACACAAGAGGGGGAGGGGCGGGTGCGGCACACAACCACACTAGAGGGGGAGGGGCGGGTGCGGCACACAACCACACAAGAGGGGGAGGGGCGGGTGGGGGACACAACCACACAAGAGGGGGAGGGGCGGGTGGGGGACACAACCACACAAGAGGGGGAGGGGCGGGTGGGGGACACAACCACACAAGAGGGGGAGGGGCGGGTGGGGGACACAACCACACAAGAGGGGGAGGGGCGGGTGGGGGACACAACCACACAAGAGGGGGAGGGGCGGGTGGGGGACACAACCACACAAGAGGGGGAGGGGCGGGTGGGGGACACAACCACACAAGAGGGGGAGGGGCGGGTGGGGGACACAACCACACAAGAGGGGGAGGGGCGGGTGGGGGACACAACCACACAAGAGGGGGAGGGGCGGGTGGGGGACACAACCACACAAGAGGGGGAGGGGCGGGTGGGGGACACAACCACACAAGAGGGGGAGGGGTGGGTGGGGGACACAACCACACAAGAGGGGGAGGGGCGGGTGGGGGATCGGAGTCCGGAGCTTCCACGCAGCCGACGAGAGCGCGGAGCAATGCCCGTCACGAGGATGGCACGGCCCAGCCGTCTGCTCAGTGTGGAGACAAAGGTCGCTACAGATAAATAATGAGCTGTGTGTACTAAACACCCCCCCCTCCCGCTGAGAGAGTGGAACATTCTGACACCACAGAAGTTCGGCACATCCCTCCAGATAAAGTAGAACATCCCAACGACTTACAAGCTCAGCACACTCTGCCAAGGAGTGTTCGTACATTCTGTCCACGCGGGTCCACGCACGCCCCCAAGAGGGAGTGGTACAATCCCACTCCACCAGTTCGCCGGTAGGCACACCGTGTGTGGGACAAACCATTCCTCACCGCCGTGAGGGCCGGCGCTATTCTCCCGTGCCAGCCCTGAATCGGTGGTGAACATTTCAGACGTCTACGACGGAGGAGCGCCCATCCACAGCACAACCACAACCCATCACGAATCCACACACATCGCGCGACGTGACCGTGAGAGACGCGGCATGAGCCCGAACCCATCCACAGCACGGTGGCTTTGCCCTCGCACGAGTCCCGGTCTGGATGGGCGCCTCCCTGGCCCCCGATTCGAGGGGCGATGGGAGTCGTCCTGGTAACCCCCCCTGCTCATCCAGCCGCTCTCCCTGGGGGCACCCCCCGCACCCCCTGGTTCTGTGTACTCATACCTCATCCATCGGCTCTCACGGCGTCTCTCCGATATAAATATTATATATTAATTTGCACATTACAAGAATTAATAATAAACCCGGGCTTCGTTCAGCCGAGTCGCTCTCCTGACGTCGGCGCCCTGAAAACAAGATTTGTCCGCACCCGGCACACCACATCGAGACGACGTCTCGCCACAAGGACAGCGGTGCCACTGCCTTCCAGTCTTAGCAGCGACCCGGACACACGCAGGGATCTCTAAATCATCGCCATCGCAAGCCTCACCACGGGCTGGGAGATCACTCCACGGTCCGGGGACGAGGATGGTGGAATTTACATCTGGCTCTTCGTTCCGGTTATTATTTCCAACACCGCCTCTTCCTCCTCCAATCTCTCAGCCTGTGCGTCTGTGTGTCTGTGTGTGTGTGTCTGTGTGTGTGTTGGTCTGTGTGTGTGTGTCGGTCCGCGTGTGTGTGTCTGTGTTGGTCTGTGTGTGTGTCTGTGTGTCTCTGTGTGTCGGTCCGCGTGTGTGTCTGTGTTGGTCTGTGTGTGTGTCTGTGTGTCAGTCTGTGTGTGTCGGTCCGCGTGTGTGTCTGTGTTGGTCTGTGTGTGTGTCTGTGTGTCAGTCTGTGTGTCAGTCTGTGTGTGTGTCGGTCCGCGCGTGTGTGTCTGTGTTGGTCTGTGTGTGTGTCTGTGTGTCAGTCAGTGTGTGTCTGTGTGTCAGTCTGTGTGTGTGTGTCGGTCCGCGTGTGTGCGTCTGTGTTGGTCTGTGTGTGTGTCAGTCTGTGTGTGTCTGTGTGTGTGTCGGTCCGCGTGTGTGTGTCTGTGTATGTGTCTGCGTCGGTCTGTGTGTGTGTCTGTGTTGGTCTGAGTTAGTCTGTGTGTTAGTCTGTGTGTGTGTTGGTCTGTGTGTGTCTGTGTTAGTCTGTGTTGGTCTGTGTGTGTGTCTGTGTTGGTCTGTGTATGTGTGTTGGTCTGTGTGTGTCTGTTAGTCTCAGACCAGAACCATTCACTAGAACGACGCACCGGAAACACGCACCAGAACCACGTACCCAGAAACACAGGTGGAAACCACACTCTCACCGGAACTACACATTGGAACCACGCACCGGAACCACGCACTGGAACCACCCTTTGTAGCCTGGCGCCTGAGCCTCATTCAGGCCGTGGGTACCGGCGCAGTTGCACCGCCTGCGTGCTTAACAGCTACGCCGCTAACGACCCGAACCGGAGGCTTCCCGCCGGCCAGTATGTATGTTGAACTTCTTTCGCACCGTACGTAGCCGATCCTGCTAGCCGTGCTAATTGGAGGTTCCGCTGTTCCCACACCAGCACGGAAGGCGGCTCAGGCCGCAGTGACACCGGGGCCCGGCCTCACAGGACAAGCGGCCGCGCTGCCACTCGCGAGAGACCCGCCGCTAGTTCACGCGCACCGTGCTGCTGCTGCCGTAGCAGCGAAATCCCAGAGTGTCCTCGAGTCGCGGCTTTGAACCGCGACGACAATTCATCAAATCGCTACTGCGTATGAGGGACAGACAATTGGAACGCGAGTCTCGAGCCAACGGTGCTACGTCGCGCCGAGTCGAACCGAACCGACCCTCTCCCGCGTTCACGTCGAGATTCACGGTAAATGCAAACGATCCCGAAATAACAAAGTCTGCAGTCGACGTTTCACCCAGAGCGATGTAGCGAACGCACCTCGTGTGTACGACAAACGACGCCATGCCGCCGTCTCTCCCCCTCGTTTCTGTCTCGCGGCGGCTTGACAAAAAAACACAAATTTAATCGTCGTGACCTCCAAATTGTGACGATTAATCGAACCGGTGACTCGACGCGCGGGGGCGGGGGGGGGTCTCACCTCCCTCGCCCGCGCCGTGGCAATTCGCTCCGGCGGGGGTTTCGTCAGCGGCGGGAGACGCGGTCGCGTTATTGGGCAGAAATCTCTCGAGACGGAAATGTCCGCGAGCACGCGATGCCGGCGCCGCTCCGGGGGGGAGGCGCGGCACGGCGCGGGCACCGCACGGATGACGACTCCCGTTACGGTTGTGTTCCAGTCGCTCCCAGGTGATGTCACATCGTCACGCGCACGAGGTAGCTTTTCCGGGTTTTTTTGGCGGCGCAAAGAGCGCCGGCCAGGAACCCCTCGTCTTTATCCTTACCGCGCAAGTGCCAATTCGGCCAATGCCGGCGCATGCTCCTCGCTCCCCTCTCCGTGTCTCGCCGTGACCGCACTTCTCCGCCCCTCCACCACCCCCCTCTCTCCGTCTCCACCGCGATCGACTTTAATGCCGACGCTCGGCACGAGTGGAGCGACCCCGATGCTCTCTCCCCCACTCCCTCCCGGTTCCACGTGACCACTCGGGGCTCGACGCGAGAACACGAAACACTCGCGCGGCGCGAGCCACGAGGGGGAAGCGAAACAAAACGCACTCGGCGCTCCTCACCGGAGGTCGATCCGTGCTGCGGTGAGAGTTTTGGGTGGCGGCGGTGGTGATGGTGGTGGTGGGGGCGGTGGTAATAGCGGTCGTGGTAGTGGTGGCGAGTGGGTTCCGCTGGTCAGCACGTCGGGATGCGGTCGCGTTGCCGTGTCGCGTGAATTCGCGCCGGATCGTCACCGAAACAGCTCGCCGCTCGCGGGAACAGCGGCCACGCAACGAGCGCGTCACAACAGTAGCTGAACACACGCACGCGTTCACGCACGCACGCGTTCACGCACGAGCGCACACACGCACGCGTTCACGCACGAGCGCACACACGCACGCGTTCACGCATGCACGAGCGTACACATACGTACACACACAAGAACGCACACACACGTACCACACGTATGTACACACACACAAGAGCCACAACGGTGGCCAGTAGTAGGTGCCGTGGCACCACTCAGAAGAAGCTCGAGGATGTAAAAGTAACAGCAAGGACATCACGCACACTGGGGGTGAGGGGGGCGCATACAACTCCAGGGTCCAAAGGGGAGGGGGGCTGTGCCCCCCAAACGGTTCAAGTATTCGGCGTCGCAGGGACGTCTGCGACGCCTCTTGCTCGGTTTCGAGACGAGGGGCACCGCTCCTTCGTCGCCGCGGCTCAGGCGGTGGCCCCCAGAGAGCCGAGTTTGTGGGGGGGGGGGCCAGGAGAATTTCTTGCAGCCAATCGCAAGCAGCCGTGCCGCTCGCTCGGCAGAGTCAACTTGGATCAGACGTTGCCGAGACGCGTGAGGAGTGGGAGGAGGCCGTGGTGGCGGCGCGTAGCGTGCGGCCCGGTTACTCCAACTGCAGCGTCGCCCACGCCTCCAGTCGTTACGCGGCAAGGGGTCTCACGCTGGAACCACCGGGGGGCACCGGTTGGGCACCGACTGGGCACCGGCCAGGCCGAGCGGCTGACCGTGTCGCTCTCCACCCCCGCTGAACGCAGACGACGCTCCCGGCTTCGCGGCCAGGAAATCCGCCAGCCGCTTTGAAATCACCGTGGCCGAGTGGCGGGGATGACGGGTGCGGGCCTCGTTACCGTGGACGCGGTCGCCACGGGCGCCGGCGCCGCACAGCACGCGCCTCCTAGCTGTTCTTCTCGGCGGTGAGGTACTTGAGGGCGGCGTAGCCGTACTTGCGCGACATGTCTTGCTGGAACTCCTCCTTGAGCGTCTTGAGGCATGCACGGTACTGCTGGCTCGAGCGGAACTTGGCGATGTCGAAGCTGGGCGCGTGCGGCATGTGGATCATGAACGCATTGGGCAGCACCACAAACTCGTACTCCTGCCGGGCGGGGGGGGGGGCGTGGGGTCGCAGGATGCACAGGGTCAGAGGGCGCGCGGGGTCGGAAAGCATCTGGGGTCAGAGGGCACAGCTACGGCAGGACGGTCCGTGTCTCTTGTTCTCAATCGAACGTGCGGCAAGTAGCGGCCGTGTGCGTTTGTTGTGCCGCTGCCCCTCCCGCCCCCCACCACCGCACCTGCGCGTCGAGCTCCATGACGTGCGCCACCTTGTTCCAGCCGAAGCCCACGAAGCGGCGGTCGTACTCGGGGCAGTCGCTGCGCACCACCACGTACGGCTCGAAGTCGGCCTCCCACTCGACGCGGTACGGCGTGGTGGCCGTGCGCCAGCGCGCGTAGTTGGTGGGCGCGTGGCCCCGAGTCCACACGTGGTACCTGCGCCGTCGCACACCGCCGCAAAGTCTCGCAAATGCTTTGTGGGGGGGGAGGGACTTTGTGGAACCACCAGGACCGTCTTGGCCAAACCACAACACGTGTGGCTGTTTTGTGCCGTGTGTGAGGACTGGGATGGCTCTAGGAGTAGGAGCGGGGGCAGTGCCATGGATCGTCTCCTCGCCGGCGCCCGCCTCCAGCGCCGTGACCGCGTGCCCCCCCCCCCCCGTCACTCGCGAACATCGAACAATCGAGGCCTGGAGGGAGGGACGTGGACCCTATCGGTACGGCGTAGGAAGCTGGGATGAGGGGTATTCATTTGTCTGGCCCCGCGGGGAGAGATAATCAAGACAGAGACATTATCCGCAGCTCATTTGTTGGGCAAGGCATTCGCATTCATCAGCGGTGCGCCGGCAGACACGGACGGTGCAAACCGTGCCTCCACCATGGCATTGTTGCGGCGTTGGTGCTAAGTTCCAAGTCTTGTGAAATGCAACCTTGGCGCCGTCGTGCGCGCACTGCACGCACCGGAAGGTGTAAAGTGTGCCCATGTCGAGCATGGAGAGCAGCTCCGCCTTGGACTTGGGAAAAGAGAAGCGGTAACGCAGCGTCTCGAACGCCGGCACGATCAGCGCCTTCTTGCTGCTTGCCATGTCCAGCTGCTGGATCGACCTCCTGGGGTCGCATGGTGATGGGGTCAAAGGGTCACAGGGTCGTAAGGTCACGGGGTCACGGTCACATGGTCGCGTGGTCACGGGGTCACAGGGTCACAGGGTCATGAGGTCGGGCGCGCCCAGTCAACGTTATTGTCCGTTCTTAAAATTAGCATCTCGTTTCATGCTCTAGCATCGCTTTATCAAAATTAACATCTCGTTACTAAAATTAGCATCGTGTTCATAAAATGTCCTGTTATGAAGTGGGCAAAACGAGTCTCAAATGCGTGAGCAGGTGCGTGCGTGGGTGTGTGAGTGCGCGCGCGTGTGCGAAAGAGGCTGCGTGCGTGCTTGTGTGAGTGTAGGGAATTGCACCAAGGCCTACATCTCTGCTTTATTGACCTGGTCAAGGCCTATGATACTATCAACAGGCCAGGGCTGTGGGCAGTTCTTCGTGCTTTTGGAGTCCCTGACTCTGTTCACAATCATTAAGGGCCTTCATGATGGTGAGCAGGTCTGGGTAAAGCTACGTGGCTAGGAGTCGTAGCCATTCCCTGTTCAACTTGGGGTGTGACAGGGATGTCCTCTGGCTCCCACATGATTTAACATCATCTTTGACTAAGTAATTCGAGAAGCTTTCCATGGCTGTACCGGAGGAATTTTCATCTGGTGGGAGGCTGATGGATGCCCAGGTGCGGTCGAGGGATGGCTCCCTATTGGTCAACCACGACTGGTACCAGCAGTGTCAAGATCATCCTCGATGAAGGACACTACTGAGCAGTTGGAGGTAGTCACCCTCCAACAACAACGGAGGGCAGAGGAGCAACGCTCACAACAACGAGTGGAGTGATGGGTGGTTAAAATGCAGCAAGTTGACAGTGTAGGGGGTCATCTCATGGCACCTGGGTCTGTCCCGTGACCTCCTTGCAGCGAGCCTTCGACACTTCACCCGGTTTCAAAGTGCACCTGGCCTAGCACAGGCGCCGTGGCGACGTCACCGTCACTTAGTGGCAAATGGCGGTTGTGTTGTTATTGGTGTGGTGAGGGGGTGGGGGAGGGGTCGAGTGGGGGGGGGGAGGCGCACGCACCGAATGTAGTCATAGAGGCCATCCATGGGGATGAAGTCGATGTCGGAGAGGAAGACGTAGGGCGTGTTCACCTGGCCCATGGCCACGTTGCGCAGGAGGTTCACCGGGTAGAATTGGCCCTCCTTGTACACCACGTGGTAGCCGATGTTGTCGCGGCGTGACAGGATCTCGGAGGCCTGCGCGTAGCGCAGGAAGTGCTGCGCCTCGCCGTCCGACATGTAGAGCGCCAGGCTGATGGGGCCCTCCCAGTGGCGGCAAATCGTCTCCAGCATCTGCAGCCTGCGCATCGCGTAGTGGTGAGTGCGGCGGTGTGCGCGGCGGTGAGCGCGGCGGTGAGCGCGGCGGTGAGCGCGGCGGTGAGCGTGGGGGTGAGCGGCGTGCTCACCGATCCATGGAGAGCTGTGCGACGAGCGTGACGTCGGTGCCGTCAGCGCTGGGCACGTATTCGTGGTGCAGGAAGTAGAGGTGCGTGCGGTGCACCGTGAGGCGCTCGCGCCGGAAGTCGTAGCACAGGTCGTCCTCGTCCAGCTCCGAGAGCTTCTTCTGCAGCTGCTCGCATGCACGAGCACATCAATACGCAACTCAACACACAATCACCACGCACATCAACACAAATCCAAAATAGTTACACGGTACTCTTTGGTTCTTTCGGTAAAGTTACGTAGGTAGAAAAATAAAACAAAAAATTACATATCACGACGTTTCAATCGCAACACAAGCGGTCGTCCTCAGGCGGAAAAAAATTATCCAGCAGTGGAACTGCTGAACCAGCGAGAGAGCAGCTACAACAGAGCAGCTACGTGGCGATGGGCAAGCAAACAGGGTCTGAGCTGGAAAGGAATTCCATCCCCGGACGCAAGCACGTCAGTTGTGTTAATGGGGTAGATTGGGGAAAGAGAGATTAGGGAGATTAGCATGAAATGAGCTTCCGTCGCCGCATAAGAGTATTAGTTACACACTAAATGATCAAATAAGCGTAATAAAGATTATGAGCTCTTTACGAGCATTATGTAAAGGGGAACTGAACGAGAGGCGAGCGACCCTGCACCCCGCTTGCGCGCGTGCCAAGCGGGGGGCGGTGAGCGCGGTCGGGGTCTCTTGCGGCCGCGTGGCCTACACGGGTCGATCACTCCCCTGAGCCACAGGACCCCTGGGTCACGCGCCTCTGAGCAGGGCCCCCCCATCCCCCGGCCCAAGTGGAACGAGCCCCTGGCCATTGGAGGAATTGGCGAAGTCGTCAAACACGACTCATTTGCTGGGCACCGATCTCATTGCGATTCTGCGGGACGCTGCATTGGCAGTGGTGCACTAAAACCACAATCCCAACTCATTCGGCAATAACTCGGTGGCACTGAAGGAGAGGAAATCAATGGGCGATGTTTCGAGCGATGACCCTCCTCTCTGCTGTCAAGAAGGACCAACGTTCAACATGTCCCCTGTCGTGTATTTATTTTTCCGTTTAGGGCCACGGCGTTAGCAGGGAATGGGATCGGGCGGCAATGTTGAGACTTGCGGTTGAGTGAGCGGAGACACGAGGTGGAGGGGGGGGGGTCTTCACTCGTGAACCAACGTCTCCACAACCTCGTGTCCACCACAAAGCCACCACTACACCCCAGAGCTCTACCACCAACAACAACCACCACCACGGCCCTGAGCACCACCATCATCAGCACCACCACCGTTACCGACAGCAGCTCGATTGACTGACCGTTCATGGTGAATGTGTAAAACTGGTCGGCGAGTGGGTGGGCGAGTGGTGTGCGAGCGAGGGGGCAGCTGGATGATTGGTTGGTGAGTGGGTGAGTGGGCGAGCGAGGCTTTGAAGGCACCGCGTGGACGGACGGGCGATTGCTCGCGCGAGCTGGACATGAAAGCGCGCTCGGTGTAGACAAATCCAGGGCGCGCGCCCTAATTGGAGTGTTTCCCCGGCGTGTTTAAATAACGGTGAGATTTACATGTAAATGTCTGAAACGTAATTTTTTTGCAAAGGGTTCTTTAGTCGTCAGTAGCACTTTAAAGTGGTAATGAGGTCCGCGCTTGCGTTCCGTGGCGGTGCCGCCTTTGTGCGGTTGATGTTATGCGTAGTCAAAGGTGCAGGCTGAGGACGCCACCTGCGCCTTTGTGAGAAGAGACAGTCGAGCGGAGTGGGGTGGGCGACACTCGCTCACCCACCACGCTCACCCATCACGCTCACCCACCACGCTCAACCACCACGCTCACCATGCTCACCCACCACGCTCACCCACCACGCTCACCCACCACGCTCAACCACCACGCTCACCATGCTCACCCACCACGCTCACCCACCATGCTCAACCACCACGCTCACCATGCTCACCCACCACGCTAAACCTCCACGCTCACCCACTACGCTCGCCATGCTCACCCACCACGCGCTCAACCACCACGCTCACCCACCACGCTCAACCACCATGCTCACCCACTACGCTCGCCATGCTCACCCACCACACACACCCATACCTACACACACCATGCTCATCTGTACACTCATCATTCTCACCCACCCATAACGCCCACTACGTTCGACCACATTCACGCTCACGGCCGAGTCCGCAGGGCAGGCCGCGACTCCGACCCGCGACAGGGACCCCACCGTGACCCCGAGGCTTACCGCTTCGCTCTCAGCGTCGCCGTCGCTGGCGCAGCCGAAGAGCTCCCGGCGCAGGAGGTTGCCGTCGTACTCGAGGAACGTGAGGTAGAGGTTGCGGAAGAACTCCACGTGCTTGTTCTTCACTCGCAGCTTCTTGGGTGAGTTCCAGTGAATCACCTGCACCATCATCGTCGTCGTTATTGTTGTCATCATCAACAATCATCATCATCATCCACTTCTTGGGGAAAACATCAGTGGTGAATATCCGAACCGGTTTGGGGACTCTGCTAGGTCGACTCAGCCCCAAATGAGTACCTGGTGTGGTGTAAACGTTAACACTGGGCAGACAAAGGCGACCTGGTGTGGTGCTGGCCACCCACCACCTTGTGTGCCGCCCTGTATAGCTGCTCGCTAACAGCACTTGCCCCAACAGTCTGTTAAGGCTACACGGAGGATCTTTTATTTTTGTGCGTGTCTGTATCTGCGTGTGTGTGCGTACGTGCGTTTGTGTGTGTCTATGTGTGCGTGTCTATGTGCGCACGTGTGTGTCATGTGCAGGTGAGTACGTGCGTGCGCGGGCATCCGTGCGTCACCTTGAGGTCCGACACCTCCTTGTAGCACTGCTCAGAGCGCGTGTGGTCTGAGAGCTGCACGTTCCAGAAGCAGGGCAGCTGGTGCACGAGCACCGGGTTCTGCTTAATCACCGCGTTGAAGATGTCCTGACGTGGGGACACGCGTGCGTAGTGAGACATGGACGGGCGCAGACAGACAGCTGCGGCGTTCGCTCGGTGCGTGTGGTGTGGCAAGAGCGGCGTGCGTTGTGTGGCCTGAGCGGCATCTCACCTGGTCGGCGAGCGACGTGGACAGCATGCCCATGAGCTCGCGCTCCGCCGTGAGTCTCCACATCTGATCCCACTTCATCTGACGCAGCCGCTCAAACAGTAGCAGGATCACGCCTGGCAGCGCCACGCGCAAGGCACACACCGCCGCCACCTTTGTACGAACACTGCCATCTCCTCACTTAAAAACTCTCTACGTTGTTACGAGTACAAGAGCGGAACCTTGTTTAAGCCGGGCGCGGTTAAGCGATGGCTCAGTTTCCTGCCGCGTGGCAAATAAACGACCTCCTGTTCGGCGCCATTGGGCATCTCGGGGGTTGGAGGCGCCGAGCCGGCAACGTTGACACCTCGGGTTCTGCTCCGGGTTTCAACCGCTGCCTGCAATTGAACCAGGGTATCACGTGGAGCGAGTTATAAGAATCGACTTGACCGTCATGCGACTAATATTTATCTGCAGCGGGGCGGGTGGGAGGGCGCCACACCTTAGTGTGGATAAGGAGTCACTTGATGGGAATTCAGAAGTAGCTCTGTGATATCCGGTTCCAGGGACCGGTTCTCTGAAACGGGGAGCTGCGCTGCGGGAAATAGACAGTGAAATAAAATAATGATCACCCCATTTGGTTCCTTTCACTCGGTCCTCTGACGCTGGAGACAATTATGGAAGCTTGACGGCGGAGGCCGTTCCTCTGGCCTTCCCCTCCGATGTTCCGCCACGTGGGCGCTCTGTTTAAAGAGTTAATTAGTCTCAGGTGAGAGATGGCGGCGCCTGTTAACGAGAGGCTTGATTGGGAGCTCGTGGTGGTAGGAGCGGGGATAAATCAAACCACGCCGCTGCTAATGTGGTCATCCGTCTCTCCTGGAAATCTCTGCCGGAATTGCGCGCGGGGTCACGGGAGCTGAGCGCACCGGCTGGAATAATTTGACGGCCCCCCCCACCTTCTCCACCTCGCCCGCCCCCTCCCCCATTTCCATCTACACGGCCCACGTCACATGCACACACACAAACGCATGCACACACAAACGCAAGCCCCACTCCGTGATTAAATAACAACTACATCCAGTGGCGTCACCAAGGACGTGTCCGTGCCCGCGGTGATAGCGTCCTCTCGTCGCGCCGTATGAATGGCCTGCGATTGCCACTCTCACTCCCTTTGCCTCGTCCCAAGGCCACTGCTGTGCCCTTCCGGGGATGGGGGAGTGGCGAGGAAACACCGCGGCCCTGAGCTCGGTGCCCACGGCTTCGTTTGCCGGATTCCGTTTACTGCAGTGGCACTGCTTCCCCTCTCCAGGCAGCCGCTGTTCCCAGGGATTAATTTTAGCTGGGCTGGTCCGGGTCAGCGACTCAGAAAAGAATTGGCACTGGCTATGCCACCTGATTGAGGCCGAGTCTCTCGCCTATGCGCGCCTGTTCCTAGGCCTGCACCAGTTCCTAGGCCTGCTCCAGTCCCTAGGCCTGCTCCAGTCCCTAGGCCTGCTCCAGTCCCTAGGCCTGCTCCAGTCCCTAGGCCTGCTCGTGACCTAGAAAATAAAATATTCAGCGAGAAATGAATCCCTGTCTGTTGTGGGTTGTCTCTTTTATTGCATTACAATTCTTGTTCATTCAGGAAAGCCTCAGAGTCTCAAGACTGGTATAGAGGGTCCTGTTATTAAAATTTAGTAATTTGGAGAGAAAAAAATCAGCATTGCAATCTTTATTTGGCCAATAACCAGTTACAATGCTATGGGAGGTAACCAGCCACATCCCTTCTAGCGACACGTCCTGCCCATGCCCACTCACAGTCTCAAGTTTGCCTTTGTTCTTTGTTCCACACGGTCCTCTGTCCGTCTCCAAATGAGTGCCTCTCGCACTTTCCAGGGTTTGCTACATTTGTGTCATCACGCCAACTGGCACGGTGTGAGCTGTGCATCTCACAGGTGAGCAGTGCATCTCACAGGTGAGCAGTGCATCTCACAGGTGAGCAGTGCATCTCACAGGTGAGCAGTGCATCTCACAGGTGAGCAGTGTATCTCACAGGTGAGCTGTGCATCTCACAGGTGAGCAGTGCATCTCACAGGTGAGCAGTGTATCTCACAGGTGAGCTGTGCATCTCACAGGTGAGCTGTGCATCTCACAGGTGAGCAGTGCATCTCACAGGTGAGCAGTGCATCTCACTGGTGAGCAGTGCATCTCACAGGTGAGCTGTGCATCTCACAGGTGAGCAGTGCATCTCACTGGTGAGCTGTGCATATCACTGGTGAGCAGTGCATCTCACAGGTGAGTTGTGCATCTCACTGGTGAGCTGTGCATCTCACAGGTGAGCTGTGCATCTCACTGGTGAGCTGTGCATCTCACAGGTAAGCTGTGCATCTCACAGGTGAGCAGTGCATCTCACAAGTGAGCAGTGCATCTCACAGGTGGGCTGTGCATCTCACAGGTGAGCTGTGCATCTCACTGGTGAGCAGTGCATCTCACAGGTGAGCAGTGCATCTCACAGGTGAGCAGTGCATGTCACAGGTGAGCAGTGCATCTCACAGGTGAGCAGTGCTTGTCACAGGTGAGCAGGGCATCTCACAGGTGAGCAGTGCATCTCACAGGTGAGCAGTGCATGTCACAGGTGAGCAGTGCATCTCACAGGTGAGCAGTGCTTGTCACAGGTGAGCAGTGCATCTCACTGGTGAGCAGTGCATCTCACTGGTGAGCAGTGCATGTCACAGGTGAGCTGTGCATCTCACAGGTGAGCAGTGCATCTCACAGGTGAGCAGTGCTTGTCACAGGTGAGCAGTGCATCTCACTGGTGAGCAGTGCATATCACTGGTGAGCTGTGCATCTCACAGGTGAGCAGTGCATCTCACAGGTGGGCTGTGCATCTAACAGGTGAGCTGTGCATCTAACAGGTGAGCTGTGCATATCACTGGTGAGCTGTGCATCTCACAGGTGAGCTGTGCATCTCACAGGTGAGCTGTGCATCTCACAGGTGAGCTGTGCATGTCACAGGTGAGCTGCGTTGTTGTTACCTGTGTTGAAGCCTCGCCCCAGTGCTGGCCAGGGCTTGTGATTCTTCCACAGGTTGCCCAGGTACCAGTCGCTCTGATTCTCCACCAGCCCAATCACCTGCTGACCTGCACGGCATGCGCCCCGTGGGGGCCACGCAAGGGCAAGGGTCACTCGCGTAGTCGGTGCGCGGGCCGCCGGGGACCTGGGCTGTTTGAGAGCGCCTGTTAAGGCTGCCCATTAAAGTAATTGGTATGTGAACCTCACCTGGCACCCCAGGTGAGGTTCACATACCAATTACCACCGGTGGTGAGCACAGTTGTGATGGTGTGAATCACTACCCAAGAGCTCTCCGCGCAGACAGACGGACCTGTACACGCACACACTTACACATATCTGTACACACAGAGACATATGTATACATTCACAGACATATACAAATACACACGCAGATGTGCAGACACACACGGACACTTAAACTCATACCCACACACGCACACACAAGACAAAGACACGCACACGCGGGAGTGCAATGCGCTCAGACTAACGCTTGTTATGCTAATTATTATGCCCGGAGCAACGAAGGAGCAGTCCATGAGAATCCGGCTGCCGTCCACGCGACAGTGACGACAACGGCAGGGAGGTTGGGGGAGAGGGCGGAGAGCCGTGTGCTCCTGCGCCTCCACTCGCTCGCCCGATGCGGTGCCGAGCCGCGGTAGCGAGCCGCAGACCTTCGCATGCGATCGATTGCTCCAATGACCGCATTCCAAGATCCAATTTTACCAAAAGGTTCGGGGTCAAAAACTGACCGCTCTTTGGGATGAAGCATGGCCCGCAATCACCAGGATAATACGTCAACGCTGCTAATTAATTCTCCCCGTCTCTCCATCTCTGTCTCTTTGTCTCTTTCACGATTTTCATGGGCAGTTTGTGCTATGGGGGTCGTATGTCGGGAGGGCAATGAAAGGCTGACCTTTGAACTTGTGAAAGATGGCCCAGAGTTCGGCGATGTCGGTGGCGAAGGTGATGTCGGTGTCGAGGACGATGATCTTCTCGAGCGAGGGTGGCAAGGCCTGCGTGAGCACCAGCTTCATCAAGCCATAGATACCGGAGTAGTGCTTATTGGGGATCCACGACACCTCGGACTGCATACGCATGCATGCACACACACACGTACGCACGATCGGATACACGTACGCACACACGGCTGCTGCATTGCAGCGGCTGCTGCGTCGCCGCGGCTTCTGCGTTGCTGCGGCTGCTGTGACTGCGCAGTAACCTTGAGCTCGTCGGCCCCATAAAAGTCGATGCGGAGTGATGGCACCATCCACATCTTGAAGAGCGTGCTGAGGATGTGCTGAGCCGTGTGGTCCACGATGAAGTGGAAATGCAGAGGATTCCTCCTGCACACGTGCACATGCACAGGCACGCACGAACACACGCCTACGTTAACGCACAGAGACCGCACACACAGCCATACGCACGAAGGCACCAGACGTACATGCACACAGGCAGCACATACACTCACAAAAGACAAATAATCTTCGTGTAGCCCACACAGGCTGTTGGGCCAAGTGCTGTTCGCGAGCACCTATGAAGTCAGGCGTGACACACGAGGGGGTGAGTGGCCAGCACCATGCCTGCCCCATTTAAGGCTGGACCGGTTCAGATATTCGTCACAGATGTTAGCCGATAGCGGGAATCGAACTCTGGTTGCCAGGTTCGTGTTAACCGCTACACACACAGACACACACACAAGCACGACAGACGCATGTGCGGAAAGGTGCCCCATGTAGAACAGTGGACGGCAGGGGCAGCCTCTGAGCGAGTGGCTGAAGGAGAGGAACACTTGAGCCGATGACCCCAAAAAGCGGGGTCATCTCTGGGTGACGCGCGACAGCAGCTCGCACAAGCAGATTGCGTGTACGTCACGTGACGTGCACATTGCTCTCGGCCTTGTCGAGGCTTCTTCTGAAGTGAACGGTTGAGGCTCAGGACTTGTGTGGTTGAGGCTCAGGACTTGTGTTCACAGGAAGTGTTGCATGTTTTAGACATCACGCACCTGCCTACAGCGGGCACCAGTCTCCGTATATTAAGACAGCTGCAGAGGAAATAAATAATGCGACAAAAAGCAATTTGTGCAACGCGATACGATCTGGATTTACATTGCATTTGAGCGCGATCGCACCTCCGCAAGCATCTTAATTCGTGTTCATTAAGGATGCGGCGGGACTCATAAATAGCACGCACGTTCACATTTACTCGCGAGCGTGCACGACACGATGTTCGTAATCGTTCCGCTCACCCCTTGCTGAGCCGCGTTGGCGCGGGGAGGGGGTGACCGCGAACCCACACGAGCCCCTCCTCGCCGCGCGTCGCCACCCATTAGCCAATCGTTTTAATTTTCCAATCTTGCGTTCCACGCCGCTCGCCACCGAATCGCCCCGAACGCCCTCCCACCGAGCACTCGCACGGCGGGGGGGGCGGAGAATGCTTCCCAGAGGACGCCCGCCGTGGAGAAGGAGCGGTGAGACCGGTAGCGGCACTGGGCCACGAAGGATGGCGGTGGCGCGAGGGGGCCTTCATCCAGCAGTGGATAGACACTGGCTGCTCTTGATGGTAAATATATTGCACGGCAGGCTTTTGTTCGGCAAGCGTCTATGCGCTGCGCTGCGGTGTGGGGTGCGGTGTGGGGTGCGGTGTGGGGTGCGGCGTGGTGGGGCCTGACCGGTGGAAGAGGATGGACTTGACGAGGGTGACGACGTCTCGGCTCGCGTTGTGGCCGGCACAAACGATGGCGATGTGGATCACCTGCGGGGTCGAAGGGGATAGTGGAGGAAGTGGCGGGGGAGCGGGGGGAGGAGGAGCGAGGGGGAGGAGTGCGGTAAGAGGGCGGCGTTGGTGGCGTGGTGCATCACGGGCGGCATCGTGCGCGCACGTGGGTTTAATTCCTTGCCAACGTCGCCCATCCCCGGGTCCCTCCGCCGTCTCAGTGTGCGGGCAACGTTCATGCAAAACAATACCCGCACGCACGCACGCCCGCGTCGCACCACCCCCGCGATGGACCCCAACCGGGCCGCCCCGGGGCCGCGCTCACCTCGCACTTCTGCACGGCCGGGTGCTTCGCGCACTCGCTGCTGTTGCCCGCCGCGCCGCCTCCGGCGCCCATCCCGGCTTTAGCCGCGTCCTCGCCGGACGACGATGCGGGGGGGGAGAAGCGGGTGCGGTTGCCGGCGCCACCGCCGGCGCCCAGCCCGAGTCTGCGGCGCAGCTGCCGGTTCTCCTCCTCCACCTCGCGCGCCCACAGCTCCAGCGCCCGCCGGCTGCCGTGGTGCCGCCCCCCTCCCGAGCCGCCGGGGCCCTCGCCGTCGGCGCCTCCTCCCATCGCGGGGGACGGGCCCCCCCCCCGAGCGCCTAGGACGCCCGTGCCCGCCCCCCCCTGCGCCGCCTGCACCGCACGGGGATTGCCGGCGTGCTGCAGGACGTTCGACTGGGCCCAGGCCAGGGCCCCGCCTGTGCGCGAGGCAGACAAGGGGACGCCGAGGAGACGTTGGTGAGCCCATCAGTGCCGTCTTCGTTCATGCCACATGCAAACACAGTATTGAGACTCGACGAGACTTTGCAGGATCTGCAAATATTATTATTCGATCATACAATTAAAACCCAACCGAGCCTTAAGGCTTATTCTGAAGAGGGTCCTGGTTTGGGATGTTAGCTTGGGCAGAGTAATTTTTGCATATGGGAAGATAGCGGACAGTACAATATCGCACATCCATCTCCCTGGGGACTGACACATGGGTGGATCTGTGGGCGGCTAATCAGTCGAGGTGGATGTGCGACATCGTTCTGTAAGAGGAGAGAGCCGGCGATCGCATCACGGAGCCCTCGACTCTGCGTCCGCTCCGTGTGCCACGGTTAAAGCTGCGCCTCTGCTACAGCTCACGTGCAGAGCGCCCATCCTGACGTCCCTCTGCTTTTGCTCATTAGGCAGTGGCGGAGCCTCGCAGCGCCTCCTGAACAAACACCCGAGGCGGTAGTTCGTGCGAGTTCCGTTCATTCACCGCGCTGCTGCAGCCGCATCTGCGATCACGATCCCAGAGCGATGGTTCATGGCATTCATCATCGTTAGACAATGCTCAATGATGGTGACCATACATAACAGTGAATCCCAATGCAATGATCACCACAAACAATGGATGAGAAATCTCAATTTACACGATCTCGGTCCGAGCAGTGCAGCATTCATCGTCGCCTTCGTTTAGAAAACCCCCCGGAAGCGATGAAAGCGTCCCAGCGCTTCACGCTGGCCCATCAATGTCCTCTATTTATTTGCGCCTTCTTTACGAGCGCTCGTAAAGCATCTCCCGCGCTCACGCCGCGACGGCGGGCGCTCGCCGCGTCCCCGGGCGGCGAGGGACGCCGGAGCGAGGCCGGTGCCGCTGGAGCTGCCGACCCGCAAGGTTGTGAACCAGCCACCGCTTCAGCCACCAAAACACCGGGATGCGGCTCACAACAATCGGGACTCGTACCCTAGGAAACATAACGCCGTTGTTCTCCACCTGTATGGAATAGCGCCCCCTTCAACCAAGAGTACCGGTTCCTGTGCGCCCACAACCTAGGTCACTAATTGTCCACGCCCGTCTCGCGTACGCGTTGTTCATAAGCCACGGTTTTCACGACGTGCGCTCCTTAGTTGTTTTATGCAGGCAACCTTCCCCACGTGCATCCGATCATTTCTCTTCCACGGTATCCATGCCGCAGACTACGCCCCACGGGTTGCGCGAAGAGACGGCTACGACAACAAGGAGGGCGATCTGGGGACACCCCGGACAGGTGGCGCAACCCGAACCCCACGCCCCCCCCGCCCCCGCCGAGAATCCCTCCCGGTTTGATCGTTCGCACGTTACTGACGGCGCCGCTCTCTTGGTTTGTCTAATTTTGCCTACAGTCATTAACGAAGGCCGAGTCGGCGTCGCCTGTCGGGCGCGCGAAGCGGCGATGCGCCGGTTCACCCGTCGGTTAAAATCGATCCCTGCACACGCGGCACGCGCCAGGAATCGCTCGGAAATTCCCAATGCACCTTTGACCTGTGCTGAAAGAAATCCAGAGCTCATCGGATAGCAATGTAGACACTCTCTTCTCATTCCTCTGCTGTGGTTTTGAGCAGTGGAAACACGATTTGTATTAATGAACAAAATTTACGCAAAGCAGCCAGAACAATTCCACAGCCCCAGCTGTACACCCTGCTCCACGCTCTCTGCTCCACGCTCCCTGCTCCACGCTCCCTGCTCCACGCTCTCTGGTCCACGCTCCCTGCTCCACGCTCCCTGCTCCCCGCTCCACGCTCCCTGCTCCACGCTCCCTGCTCCCCGCTCCCTGCTCCACGCTCCCTGCTCCACGCTCCCTGCTCCACGTTCCCTGCTCCACACTGTGTGAGTGAGCATTACTAAATGGCAGCAGCGCGCAGCCGGACTAAAATACCACAGCTACTGGCGAGGGCCCTCCTCCACTGCCGCCATCACCACCACTGTCCCTACCATCACCGTCACCGCCACATGCTTCATCCAGAATCCTCTAAATATTGCGTGAGATATTGCGTTGGAAGATGTTGGCTTCATATGGTGCGGAATAAGTTCAATGTACATACATGATATGGATATTTAGTAGGAGGGGAAGGGTCATTCCATGGAACGTCGACTGTTGTGCATGTTTTCATTTTACTGCTGCTGCGTTATCGACGAATGTTTTAGAATTCCCGGCCCATGCAGAGGTCGCTCAAAATTCTACAAATGAGCGTTCGTTGGCGTAGACGCGAGAGCTGCCACGGGCCAGCGGGCCGGCGCCGGCACCGCGGCGCGTGGCCGGAGCACATGGCCGGAGCGGATTAAACTCCCGCTTTGCCGACGGCGCCCTCCCGCCTACGCCCACCCCCCGTACCGCGGATGAATAGAGGCAATCAGCGCGCAACGCCTCCGCGGGCCGCGCTGCCAGGCGGTCGCGCGACGGCCACGGTTCGCCCGCTCCTTAATCCCTGATTGTCCCCAATCGCGCCGGCCACCCGGTGAGGTCGGGGGAGTCTGTCGGTGTCACGGCACGATAACGGGGAGTGTACGAGGGCGCCGGGCGGTCCCGGAGGGGGCGCGAGGAGCGGCGCCCGTCACGGAGGCCGCGCGCCAGCTTCACGTCGCTCCCTCCGCGCCGCTCGAACGCGCCGCTCGAATGCGCGAGCAGAGCGCGAGAGAGCACGTGCGTCGCCTTCGTATTGCTTCTAACAAATGAGAATTATTATCTCTCCGCAGCAGCAGAAGGAGGAGGAGCGGGTGGCGCTCCGGGTGTATCGCCGCCCGCCGGGGAGCCGTGTATTGAGATGTAAATGGGTCGCAAGACTAAAATAACTCGTGCTCTCAGAAGTGGGAACAAAATCACAGCACTTTGAAATTTGAGCTCCTTATCTCAGCCGGCGCCCCACGTTTTCAGACTTAAAATCGTCCGCTCATCTTTGTCACGAGCGTTCAAGGTGTGCGTTTAAATAATCTAAAACATGGAATTCGTTCCCTGCAGCTCAGCCATCGTTCTAACATTCCTTAAAAGCGCTCGGATGTCTGCGTTGGAGTGGAAACGGCGGGGCTTGGGCCGAGGTTGCGGAGGACCACCGCTCTGCGCCGCAGGACAACGGTAGCTGAAACCAAGGCCCTCACTCTTCTCGCGATGGGAAGCCTCGACCGCAGCCTCCAGTAGGGGTGGGGGAGCTACTGTATGGATGGCTTGGGTCTTGCACGAAGACCGAGCCATCCACACTACACCACCGACTGCCTGCGGGCTGTCCATTTTGAAGATCATTTAGAATAAGTCAACAGTTTGACCCAGACTTGAAGCTGAATGCACCATCACCACCATCGTAGCGAGGACGCAAAAGTCAGTCCGAGCACGTCCGACACACCGCGATGTTACACGAGCATTTATCTCTCTTATCAAGAAAGGTGGACAAGTTATTTCTATCCGAATCACGGGCCTGACCAATGGACATGCTGTTCCCAAGGAAACAAGCCCCTTCATGATGGCACCCACGTGCTTCAAGCGTCTGAAATGCATCCGCAATTGTAGAATTGCCACGCAGCAACATTATGATGGCAGCTCTGAACGTGTACTTCCACAATAGATGTACAAGGTGTCTATGCTGGGTTCCAGTCCCTCTAGACCAAGCAACCCACAAAGGAGTGCCCCACTGGTTTCATGTTCTTCATCTGCCCTAGGGATATGACTTGAAAAGCAGCTCTACATCAATGTATAAGTTGTGAATCCAGCTGCTGGCAATGAATGACTCGCAGTGGACATGAGTCCATGACGTGAGGTTGTGATAATATTCAATTAATTTGTTAATCATAAGTCCAGTGCTATTATCAAATTAAATGAATGAACGAGGCAGTTTGATGACAGTAGCGGGAGGATCCTAGTCCTGATCAGGAGGGATGCCGACAATGATGACGATGAAGAACTCTATGGGTGGTAAATTCCGAGTGTGGCATGCACGGCTTACGAACAACGGCCTCGTATGTCTGCCGAGTGAACGCCGGTGGCGAGGGGCTCACGACCGGCACGGCAGACCCTGCCGACAGCGCCGGTGCCGAACCCTGCGGCCCTCTGCCTCGTGAGCTCCTCTCCCGACCGATAATTACCTCCGCACTTATCTCGCCTCGAGAGAGAGCGAGGGAGGCGATCGAATGCGATTGCGTTTCGCGCTAATCACCTCGCGCCGAGGCCTGGCTGCGGGCCGACGGCGACAACCTATCCCCGCACGTCCGCCTCCGCGCGGGCTGCTCGAGGGGGAATTACCACGGCAGTCTGGTTCCCGTTCCACTCAAGGAGATTACATTGTGCGAGCGGTGCTTAATTGGCAGAGTGTGCGGAGCGTTAGCAGCCCGCTGATTAAGGCCCCGCGGAGAGTGGCGGTGCTGCGAGCGGCACGCGGCACGGAGAGTCACGTGGGAAGTCTCCTCCGGGAACCGCCACCAAAATATCGCCACGATGTCCGAAGTTTTTCGCTCCACGTCCTGGGAGCTTGGTCAGGAGAGCGTTGCGGGCTGCTACTGCTGCTGCAGCTACCGCTGCTGCTTGACACTAGCTCAGCTGTCTGATGTAGCTTGGCCAAAGCTGGTTTCGATTTGTCTGAGAGCTGAGCCAATCAGCATCATGATCCGGTAACAGCAGCAGCAACAGCTACAGCAGCAGCCGGCAATGCTTAGGGGCTATTCATTGAGTACGTACGCAGGTGGGGGGGGGGGGGGTGTAAAAAGTCCGCGTGCGTACAGGGAGGGGGGGGGTCAAGTTTTGACAGATTTCTGCGTACGTACTAAATGGATGGGCCCTAATCTGTGGGAGGTGACCCTCTCGTTTCAGTTCCTGAAGGTGCACCAGTACATGGAGCGAAACGTCGGACATCTTGCCAAACGACACGCAGCACATCCCTGAGAAGCGTGGGAGAGCTGTCCCGTGGTGCTTTAGTTGAGGTGTCAGAATCAGAATATGTATTTAGACTGGAGGAATCCGATGAGCTATAAAACTCTTTTTCAAAGATGTCCCGTAGGGGCAGATGAGAACGTGGTGAAGGGAGCAAGGAAGGAGAGGGAGGGGGGCTCCTCCTCACAAACCTTCGAAGCTCCCTGTGAAGAGGTACAGCCACGTGACCATGGGCACGAAGAGGAGCGTTGCCGTGGCGAGCAGGATGCGGGCCCGCCGGCGGCACAGGCCCAGCATGGTGGGGGCGAGCAGGCAGAGCTGTGGAGACGCGTGGATCAGATCGGACCCCGGGGCCCGTGCGGCCCGCTGCTCGGCTCCATCTCCGCGCCGGACGCGAGCGTGGGGAACGGGCGGGGGGGGTGAGCGAGGGCGGTCGTAAAGGGGTGAGTGCGTTCGCGATGATGTCGGGCGGGTGGTGGACGGTGAAGTTCACCTCTCTTGGGTACGCGTGAGTTTGAGCGAGGGAGGCAGTGGGGATGGTGGCGAGTGTCGAGGTGAGCGAGAGGTGAGTGTGGAGTTGAGAGTGACCCAGGCCGATTGGGCTGATTTGATCTGTCGTGCTCAGGTGATGTGTGCCGAGTTTGTCTTCATGTTTTTCGGCCGAACAACATCAACACTTCGGCGTCACGGTGATGCCAGCGACGACGGCAGTTGCCGATTCCTGTGGAGTCGCCGTTCCGGTGCGGCAGTCAGGCGAGGTAGCTGCGGTGGCGTGCCGGTGGCGATGGGAGTCAGGTGATGTAGATGGAGCCACTGTGCGAGCGATGGTGGCAGCGGTGATGTTCACAGCAATGTTCTGCCATCCGACGGTCGCGTCATTAAATCTGCATCGGCGACCGTGGCCCTGAAGGAGAGAGAAACAACACGATTAGCAAATTACTCAGAATCATTCAATTAAAATAAGTACATTTCAAGAAAACCGAATTAACGAACAATGATCACAACTGATTAAGTTCACAAAATTGAGCACACTTTGTTCTCATCGTGCACAAACCCTCCTAATGGTGCACAACGGTTGTCAGCAACAATGGACGCCGTGCCGACTTGGCACACCAGAAGCACCCATCGCCCCATCGCCACATCACCACATCGCCCCATCATCTCCTGCCGAGCGGGAACCCAGCATCGGCTCATTCGCCGCAGCGTGTGGCATCACGGTACGGTGGGGAAAGGCAACGATATGAGGAGGCCTTCATCTAGCAGTGGATTGACCGTGGCTCACGTTTATTGCAAATGACTCCTGGTTGTTGCTGTAGACGCCCACTTAGGGGCACATCTGGGAATGGGGTGCGGGGGGGGGTTGCTGCTTTTCTGCTCCTCTCCGCAAGAATGGTGGTGCTGCAATTTTCTTTTTGATTAGTTTAATATTACGCAGTGAAAACCCAATGTACACGCAATCCACGTGCTCCCCTCGTGGAGCGACTCGCAGTGGAAATAAACGCACGGACGCTTCCCCGTGCCTCTCCGCGTCCACTCCACCGTGCCCGCTGCACCACACCCGCTGCTCGTTCCTGATGCTTCACCGAGCGGGTCGCACGCCGGCCGGGGTAGATTGGGCATGGCGACCGGCGGGTGCAGCGAGGGGCCTTATCCACAGCGCACGCCGCGCCCCCGCACGGGATCGACGGTTTTCCCCTGTGAGGCGAGCGGGTGGGCGGGAGGGCGAGTGTGATACGGGAGCCCCGGGCAAGTCGTCCATCACGCACTCTCGCCTGAACTCATGGGGCGGGCTCGGCCAATTTCGGACCGCCAAGCACCACAACCACCGCCCTCTCGTCTCAGCGCCATCACAACCGCGGAAACCGGCGGCTCACCCATCCCGGCGTGCGATAAATTACAAGCTAATGGCAAAACTAGGGAGCTGTACCAATATCCCAAGCGGTAGAGGTGTGGGTTATGAACGGCTAAATTATCGTTTGTAATTGTCGCGTAAATTACGCGGCGCCGCCCCTGACGCGCGCGGGGCTGCGATGTTTACGGCCCCTGGGGGAGCGTAACTCACGACCCCCACGCAGCCCGCTACCCCACGGCCTCCCTCCCCTCGCCCGACAGTGTGAGGCGATCTGCCGGGGGCGCCCCCTCGCTCCGCTCGCCGCTCCGTCTGCGGGCAGCGGCGTCGTGGCGCCCTGGAGGGATTCGGGACTACGGGTGGCACGAATTAGACAATGGGAGTTCACGCACCCAGGACGCGTGGCCTCCTCCGATATTATACAACACTGGGCACGTCATGGCAAGAGTAACAATAATCGACAACACCAGAAGAGGGGGAGCTCCGTGTAAACTCATGGACGCGAGAGGTCGATCACTGTTCTTATTATCTTTGCCACTGACAACTTCCGAGATCTTTAATGCCCTAAGAAGCTACCTCCTCAACAAGAGAGGATACTGGGACAGCCAGGACACGTACCGACTCTATACAAATATTAGCATATAATTTGCATACAATTTTACTTGTGACGATGGGGGGGGGGGGGGGGGGCACGTGTTGACTCGTGACTAGGGTGGGGGGGCACGTGTTGACTCGTGACGAGGGTGGGGGGGACACGTGTTGACTCGTGACGAGGGTGGGGGGGGGGGGCACGTGCCGACTCGGGTGGGGGGGGGGCACGTCTGGTCGCCGGTAACGAGACTCGATGAGGGAGACGTACGCTGCACGTTGCACTCACTCTGCGCGTACTCTACCCCCTCCTCCACCTTCATCCACCCCCTCCTCTGCGATCCACCCCCCTCGATCCTCTCCACCCTGCTCCCCCCGCCACCTCGCACCACTGCTCCCTGCTGCTGTCGCCGCTAATTCAATCGCGGGAGATGAATTCAGTTCCAGGCGTGGCAGCCCAGTCGCTGCGCCGCGACCTCCGAGGCTCTGCGGCGACAGTCGCTTCCACTCGTGGAGTTTTGCACGGAGGGGGTTGTGGCTGGACATGGGTGGGTGTGGGTGCCTGCGGGCGCCATCGGTTCCTTCCCTCTGCCAGGGCCGGCGTGAGAACGAACGAGCGAACGGAATCCGCGGTTCACGAGGCCCCGCGGTCGTTCACCGCCGGCTTCGCCAGGGGTCGTGACCCCCCAAACATTCGCTACTCTGGGTGGGGAGTCACGCTGCTGTGATTATTGAAAGAGCTATTCCGCTCGCGGAGTCTCATGACTATTTTTAAAGAGGGTCCTGCCAGGTTATTGCGGCAGGGGGCGACAATTGCTGTCCATCTCAACCGAGTAATTTGCGGCGTGATTTTTCATGTGTGCAGTAGCACAATTTGCGTACTCTTTCGAATGAAGTGGGAACTGTAACGTCCACTGTGTGTGTGTTTAGGTAGATACGCCTTCAGTATTAATTATTCAACACCACCCCACCCTCCCCCTTCTCTCTTAAGGCAGCCTATTCAATTGCCATGATTCAGGGTTGCCATCCAATCAAGAATCAATTAAACTGTCTCGTTGTTACCGGGTTGCTTGTGCAGCACTTCGCACTGGCAAAGTGAATGTTACATGATCATATAATTTACCATATCATTACCAAAGCATTGCCACGTCATTGAATTCATTGTAAATAATAGATTCTCAGACGCACGATTTGGCGCGTGCATCGTGAGCGAGGCGATCGACCGCCGGCGCGGAATCGACGCTGAGCCTGTCGCTCGTCGCCGAGTCCACGAGTGCATCCCGAGCAAGGCGACCGCAGCAGCAGCAGTAGCCGGCAGCGAGGTTCTGACGATCACAAATCGGCGTGGAGCCAGTACGACGCATCCGACACCAAATAAAGGCGGTTTTTGTATTTCCGCTCTCAAGTAAAAATCGTGTTCATTTCTGAGTGATTGGGGGACAACTGCGCGAGAGGTTCCGCAGCTGACCGGGAAAGGCAATGGGGCGACTCTGCCCGCCCATCACGCCTCGCAAGCCACGTGGCATCGCTGCGCTCGGCCTTGTCTAGACCACCAACCCAAAGAGTGAAAAGCCGTGGCTGCGACGTTTGAGGCAGCAGCGTAAGGATGGAAATGAGACAACCGTGTAATCGCGGATTCATCCAAGCGAGTCGTCATCAGTACAGTAAAAGCCACCGCTGCCTTTGTCTCTCGAGGCGTGAGGGGTCTCGCACTCCTGGCTGCACCGCTACTTGCGGTCACGTGGGTGCACGGAGCCGGCGGGGAAGGTGATGCAAGGGGAGAGCCTGACCTCCCGGAATGAAGCGGGTAGGGAGGGGCGCCCATCTGTCAGCGCTCACTCATAAGTGACCCCTCCTCTGCCTTTCCGGCTCGTCCCGGCAGACGTTGAGTTCCGCTCGTAGCCCCGGATCAGTCCGGTGCGCAGCCCTCCCACGCTTTACCCAAACATGAAGGGGAAGAGGTAAAGGTGCAGCGCTGCCACCAAGGAGGGCCCCGAGAGACGGTACTCAGCCTACCCCTCCACGCTGATCCGACCTCGTGGCTCTGTGGTCGAGCGAGCGATTGGAAGGTTGCAAGTAAAAATCCTGGTTTGGGGTTGACTCGGCCCTTCATCCCTCCGGAGATCGACAAAATACCTTCCAATATGTGGCGAAATCAACAGTGGACGTTCTATGGTTACACTTGCCCCACCATAGGAATGGGTAACTTCCACCGCTGGCTCCGCGAGATGGAATACAACTGGCGACCTGTGGATTTGAAAGTGCGGGTGTGCGAACCACGACACCGCGCGGGATCGCTGGGCCCGGGGAGAATCACTTCCCCACCCAAGCCCTCGCACTCGGCGCTTACAGCTCGAGGTCACGATGGAATTGAGGAAGCGACCCTGTTTGTTTTGTTTAGTCGGAGCGGCCCGATCATTCGTCCCGTTGGCCTCATTTGTTCCGTCTCGTCTGCAACGCCCGTCCTGGCCGCTCCGTCTCGTTTGTTCTGTGTCATCTGCTACATTAGCCCCAAGGTAACATTTGCATACGGCTTGCATATAAATCTGAAACACTCATTTTCTGCACGCGTCTTTCTCCGCGTGGTGCGGCGCCAGCGCGGAGCCATCGCCACGCACGCGGTGGCCCCCGCGCCACTCCGCTGCTGCACTGTGGGTCGTGCGGGTCATTTCACCGTATTTCACCATATTTCACCGTATTTCACCGTATTTCACCATATTTCACCGTATTTCACCGTATTTCACCGTATTTCACCGTATTTCACCATATTTCACCGTATTTCACCGTATTTCACCATATTTTCCCAGATTTCACCATGCTGGGTTGGCACGAGAATGGATTTTTGCCGCACCGCCCTCTGCTGCCCGCCACGTGGCACATCCACGGGAGGAGCGCACGGTCGTCCATCCAAGCACTACCCAGGCTCCATCCCATTTAGCTTGCAGCAGACGGGCCACGCTGCAGGTGCTTTGGTCGCAGGCGCCACGGCATCGCCGCGTCGAGAGGCGGCGTTGAGCGCTCTGTGCTGCCGCGCCACGTAAAGAGCGGCGGCGTGTCCACCCCACGGCGGACAGTCCGCGCCTTGACCGGCACCACACGAGGACCGCTCTCTGGTTAACGGACGTGGGGCATGCAGGGGTCCCAAAAGAAATTCGCACAACGCGCACGCAAAGACTCCACCCCCCTGTATACCCACACCAAACTGTTAGGACAAGTGTCATACAGCCAGCAGTTATTAAGGCTGACTCACCCCACACGAGGGGGTGGGTGGCCAGCACCACGCTCCGTTGTATTTGGCTCCCTATTTACGATGTTGACACGCTGCGCCAGGTGCTCTATTATGACAGAGTCTACCTAGAGGAGGACCAGGACCGGGTCAGATATTCTTCTACCGATGTTGGCTGTGAGTGGGTTTCATTGCGCAGTGCGCTACCCACTGTGCCACTACTCCCAACAGACACACGAAT